AAGAGTGCCACTTTCTGAATGCAGGTGTGCACATCTGGTGAGGAGAAGGCTAGCAGGCACAGCCACAAGGGTGTGCATCATATCCTCATTAGTAAAGAGCATCAGCACTCAGCAACTAACAGAGAAACTGACTGGTGAACCCTGAAAAAGATATTTTACAATTTTTTAAAAAAATCTGCTTGATTGACATTTTGCAATCTGTTCATTGAGAAAGACCTATTTTTGATAGATTTACTCTTATTGAGAACACTTTCTGTGAAAAGTTTTGAAAACTGTTGAGCATTTTGTGCTGTCAATCTTTTAAGTCAAAACTACATTTTTAAGATCAGTGGCGGTTTTTCATTTTCAGAGTTAACATACCTGACAAAGAAGAATCAAGAATGGAAAAACATGAAAAACCAAATAAAACATTGTACTTCATCCAAATAAAAGCATTTCTAAAACCACTAACTTGAAAAATATCATATCTGACTTTTCATTTGGACCTGAGTATTTTTTGAGCTCAGACGTTTTTCCTGAGACAAAAATAATTTTCCTTGCTATTCCATCCAGAGGGACCAGTCAGAAAAAAAATACTGTTTTCTATTACTATTTTTGTCCCCAAGCATTTTTGCTTTCCATAGTTCTCTTCTTTCCGCCCCCCCCCCCAATCCTTCCTTCCTTTCCTTTCTTAAAATGCCCTATCTGCTAAAAAGCAGAAGAAAATTAATTCTGGAACTCAAGATTCTTTGCTCTTGCTCTCCTCTTTTCCTCTGTTTATTCAGAAGGAGTAAAAAAAAACAAAAACTGTATTGAGCTGAAATTTTATTCTGCTGTTTTCTGTTGAGTAAAGATAGTCCACTAAAGCCACTAAATCACAGATAACACTTCTGTGGGCAACATTATTAGGAACTGACAGCTGAAGATAGATGAAGATCTCATCTTTTAAAGAAAAAAGTACATTTAATTTCCTTTGTACATAAAATAGAGAGCACAGCATTGTGTATCTAAAGATAAAAAGAGATCCCAGTGTATGCTGGGTGCCATCCTTACAGAGATGTAATACTGGTCTCTGTTCTGAGCTTACATTGAGCTTTAAATTCAAATTCATTTAGAAACAACTATTCTTCAATTCATGGTAGACCGTGAACTTTAAAAAAAGAAGGTGACATTTTACCTTAGAAAAGAACAGCTCACAGAATTAATTGTTACCTTTTGGGAGGAACACTGGAAGACAGGAGAGAAAGAGGAGGGAGGATGGATCTGTAAGGCAGAGATGGGTTTGCTCCTGATCCTCAAGGGATCATCCTGGGAGCCACTAGGCCTCCTTGAGGTTGACACCATAATGGATTTGATACTGAAGACACACAATGGAGTTGGTCTTGAACATAAAGGATCTCCTTGTCTCTTTCAACTGCCTTGAAACAGACATGCTAAAGCTATGGTCATTTTTTCCACCAGCTGAGGCACATCATGCCAGGCTCAAAACATGCCAGGTGAAAGGGAATGAATTTCTTCTACAGAGGCACTGGCAGTGTAGAGTATGCCCTTATTTCTGGGGGACTTTTTGGATGTGGTTTTTTTTTCCTTTCTCAAGGAACCTGTGCTATGTGACTATGACACATACTATTCACATTTGCAATGTATAAACATTTCGTATGTCCTTTCTGCAGCATTACCCCCTTACTTTGGTTGCATTGGATTTTAACACATCCCAGGCAGCATGGAAACAGTGAAACTTTGTTTGCCTGTGTTAAGCAAGAAAGTTACACATGTAGTTAAACACATGCTTAACAAGAAAATATGGTCAGTCCAATTCCAGTGGCATGAAAGACTGCTTTTGGCTCCTGAGGAGAAGGAGAACATCTGTATGGAGGTTTTGCTTCTAAGTCTAGAGACTATTTGTGTGTTGGCTGAGTCTGGTTGCAAGCCCTTGTAAGAAATGAAGGCCTAACACTAAGCAATTACCTTCCCTTGATTAAAGGCTTCTACTCAGCTAGTCTAAAATAAGAGTGGAAATTTTTTTGTGAATCTTACTCCACTGAAGGATGAAAGGTGGTTTTCCACTGAAAACACTGGCAATAAGCAGCCCTTCTAACCATAAAAGCTTGAAGGAAAATTCTTTGACCATCTTAATGTAAAAATAGTTATTCTGCTTTCTTAAGACTTCAAATCATGCCCTTCTTTCTTTTTTCTTTTTCAAGTGGACACAGTTTGTAGCAAAGGATAATATTAGGCTTTTCCATTTACTGCAGAAATAAGTGCCTCTGGAAAATACAGAATATAAAATGAAACTTGCCCTGGATTCAAGCTGGAAATGCAAATATAGCAAGTCAGAGCAAATGCAAAATCATCAAGAAGTACAAGGGTCTGTGTAGTTATTTCACACAGTGAAAACTATTGTTTTGAGTTTCATCCATACACAGGCAAGCACAGTGAAACACAAAGTGTCCACGTAAAACATCCAATGAACACTGACCTTCAAATTTCTCTAAATTGCTGCTTCTCTGTGAAGAAATGGATTTCTTCCTCCACTTTTTGGAGGAAAAGAGCAGAGGAAGCTGATGATGGGATAGACTTAAGTTGCTTTTCAGAAGTTTTTGCATTCTATATTCTGATCTAAAATTCCCATCACTCATGTCTTATTACACCATAACGTATCTTTTTTGGGTACTAGACCCTTTCTCAAGACCTTGGAAGATCACTGTGAGCAAGATTGCTCTCTGCATTCTGATTCAGTAAGTTTTTAACATCCAACTGCTCCTCCAGATGTATCTAGGAACTTCAAAATTCAACTGCTGTGCTATTCAGTAGTTTTGAAAGCTTTTTTGCACCACAGCAGCTACAGCTTTTCCTAAGGTTCTCCTTTATCTGTTAATATCTCTGAGCTGAGGTAGTGAGCATTTTGGGTCACCCACGCATCTGCACATTCAAAGTACAGTAGGAAAACAACTCTCAATAAGCAGGATGCACAGGGCACATCTCACACAGAGGTCTGGGCAGCATTTTGAGCCCGGACAGCTGCAGGAACCATCCAGGAACCATCCAGGCAGATACCCACATATCTGTGGTACTGTGCTGACCTCTTTCTGACCCTGGAGACAGGTGCCCCAGATTTCCTCCAATTCCATGTCCTGCTGCTTTTCTTGTTATGGAAGATCCCAAAGACCAACCTTGCTGATGAGAGAGATAAACACCTCTCCTTTATTGTCAGAACAGGGATTTTGAAACTGATTTTTCAACCCACATACACACAGACACCTAGCCAGGCTTGCTTCTTTTATTTCTAATTTCAGCAACACTGATTAGAAGATCTGGCTTCTTCAGTCCTCTCTTTTACCTTGATAATACTGAACACCTCTCACTAAAGCCTTGCTTTCATTCTCCTCAGATCTGAGGATGCCAGTTACCAAAGAAGATGCAAAAATGTCAATTAGTGTCTCAGACTGACAATTGTACTTAATTACCTCTGACTCCTTCCACTCACAGATGTTTAGAATTATGATTCAGGAGCTGAACAAAGTTGTATTCAGGAGCCTTAAAGATAACTAGAAGTGCTCTAACTGGCTTTCAAAAGGATAGTTCAAATAAGCAGCCAAACTGAGCATGAGTTCTGAACTAACTGAAATTTGCCTCTCCTGTACTGTTATGAACTATAATTCTCCACATTTCTGGAGTGCCTTCTACTCTAGGTTGCATGACAACTTAAGAGACTTAATTGGCTCTCAACATACCTTTCAAAAGTATTATTTCCAATTCAATGGGTAAGAAAAGCACAGCATAAAACATCAAGCCATTGTTCAAGTGCATGGCAATAAAGATGAATTGCTGGAATAGTCCTTCCCATTTTGTGAAAAGTACAGGTTCTGCACCAGCTATTATTGGTTTAGCATTTTTTATAATTCATAAATGAATCAACATTAAAAAATTATTAAAATAAGTCATCATTAAAAACATGGTGGGTTTTTATTTTAGTGGACAATCGACAGATATAGGCTGTCTTCTAAAATGTAAGCTGAAGAGAAGGGCAAGTTGGAAAGTTTATATGCAAGTTTTCCAACTGCATATAATTTTTTCTCAGAGATGCTAAGATAAATCCATTGCTTTCCAGAGAGGCCACTTCAAAAAGGTAGTTACACATATGCTCTCAGAAACATTTAGTGCCTAAGAAAACGGAAAGGCGGGGGAACCCCACAACAAGCAAACAATCAACTAAGATTGGGGCCTAAGTTAGGACATAAGAAATTGTTCCACGTAAGTAATTATTTACAACTACATTCCAAACCTGCTGAAATAAGATGACTATTCCCAAAACAGTCTTTGCAGAATATCAAATTACTAAAAATACACAGGATATTTCAGTGAGTGTTTTATTCATCAAGAAAACGGATAAGGGCTTCATGTAAGAGAAGTATCTTTGCTTCTTCCCATGGAGAAAGGGGCTGTTTCTCCTCCACATGCTGTTCTTAGAAAGCCATGTGTTTATTTCAGGAGCAGTGCTGGTCCATATTGTGAGCTATCATGCAAGCCTGGGAACTGAGCACGCCTCTCCATATGCAAAGCGGTGGCAGCTTCCCATCTTCAATCAAAGCAGGGAAAAGGAAGATGTGCATCCTCTCAAAAAGGCAGTGAATTTGCAGAGTCCACACCAGTGGGGAATGTAAAGACACATTTCCAATGGTCTAGCTCTCACTGTAACATTAGCAGTGATGCAGCAAGAGTCCTAACTGAGAGAATGCTGTCAGGATAGCCAAAGCTCTGATGTCCTTTGCACGATCAATCTTCCAGTCAGTGGAACTGCACCTGAACTTGAATTTAAGAGTTGAAAAAGTTCTTAACAAGTTACGCAGTATTAATTACTCCTTAGTTGTCATATTTATATTTTATTTGCCTAATGACATAACAATTAAAGCAATTTCCTCCTTTTCCTCCTTGTCTAGGTCGAGCATAGCTTAATGCCTCTGTATTTTAGCTTTTCACTGGTTTCCCTATAGCATTTATTATTGCCTACTTTTGCATTGTTCCTCTTATTCCTCTCCTGGGTGGTTTAATTTGTTCATACTTGATTTAGAAGCAGAGATATCTATGACATTGAACAGGGAAATACACTAACACACAGCTCCAACCTTGTTCCAGATTTCATCCACCACTTTCTGATGGTTTTCACAACTCTATCAGAAGAAAACATGCACAAAACATGCCTAAGATATTTCATGTGATGCTTTATGAATCCTTTTGTAACTCCCTAAAAATCAATGTTAATCCTTCCTCCTGAGTGAAAGACTGGGCCTCACCACTGTCAGTCTAAAGAAAATGAAGTGCTGAGAGAAGATCTACATGAGGAGGCTACCCTAAAAAAAGTGTCCAAAAGGACATTCAGATTGCAATTGACACATCCTGCAGAGGGGAGTGAGGCAACACTTTTTCCAAAGACAGTTCCAAAAGGATTTACAAATAGGTGTCACTGAGAGTTTTGAAATGAGACTCTGCTGTTAGTATGTATTCTACTGCTCCATTCCTCTGATGAGGAGTTTCACAAGTCTGTTGCAACACCTTATCAAAAGCTTAATTTCATTTGAAAAATTGAGTAGGTGCTTCTTCATTGGACTCCCTCTGCAGAAGGGTCCTGAATGTTAGCACAATGTCCTCTAACAGCAAAGATTTAGCACACAAAGACAAATATAAAAAGAAAAGCATTTCAGAAGAATTGATTGGAACATAAAAGACTTCTATGCACATGCACAAATATACCTGTAAGATGAGCTTCACCACTGTGTAACGGTTCAAGAAGATTCTGCTACAGTATTTACTCACAGAGAAGCAGCACAGCTCTTTGCAAGGAAGAGTTCTTCCAATTTAAACTGAGAGGTTCCAGAGCAGAGGTCCAGCCTGCATGAAGGTATTGATAAACTAATCACAGAAATTTAATCACCTCTAAACAAATGTTATTTGACCAATTATCAGCTGACACTCAGTACATGCCTTTATGCAGTCCCTGGAAATGAAACACAAGAGTATTATTTAGCCAAAATTGGACTCATTGTTCTGAACAGCTCATATGCCTGTAGAGTCCCTTCCAAGCTAAAGAGCCTGAAGTCATGCAGGGGCTCCCTGAAGCAGCACTTATCTGGTCACACACATCTAGATGACAGCACTGTTGTTCTCATTAGGATGACAACTTCTGGTACTGACAAGTGACTCTTGAAATGTTATTCCTTGCTGAAACAGTTTTGAATGTTAGAGACTGAAAAACAATGGGATAGTCTCAGTAGAATAATCAGCTTTTTTTAATTGAAAATTCACATATACAGCCTGGATGTAATGGATGCAAACAAAGAGCTTCATATAATACAGTGTCTTTTGTTCTGATCTCAGAGTTACTTATATATACACCAGCTGAATTGTACAGTGCAAATGCTCCCATGTCTCTTCCTGACACTGGATTAAAAATTAAGACAGTCCAGCCTGAGATTTTTTTGACTTTTTTTCCAGAGGCACCAAAGGCAGCTTTCTCAGTCACTCAGTCTTGAGACGGAGAGCCTCCCGCCGTTGTTTCTGAACCGTCCTGGAATCTTCCCACAGACTGGGTCCTCTGATGTTCTCCCAGTTATCCAACTTAGATTTTTCCAGCTTCTGCAGACAAACAGCAAAAATAACAGGGTCACCTTGATGAATCCATGATTTAAAGTACATATGATTCCAAATTGATTTTTTTTTCACAAGAAACTCAATATCACCATTGAGTTGATGAACTTTCAATTACCCTGCATGAGAAGTTCAACAAGGAAGAAAAACCTAGTAGTTGTCCATATAGCTACATAAATGACTAAGATAGGTATTACTGCATCTGCTTGTCAGCAGGTAAGTAACAATTAAGGACAGGAAGCACTGCAGCATCTGAGCAAGACTGAAGATACCTTGTATTCACTTTTCTGATCTGTTCTTCAACTGCAAGTCTGCCAAACACTGAAGTAGCAGGAGTGACAAGTATTGGTATAGCTCAAACAGAAGGATTAGAAATTAGTGAGCTGAAGTATCCTGTCAGCAAAAATACAAAGCATGCTGGAAAAGATTTATTATCTAGCACAAAGAGAGACACCAACAGTGCAAACCCCTTCAATCCATGTGGTTTTAACTTGAGAGAGGTATGCAATGCTTTCTGCTGACCAGTTTCCCATGGCACCAAGCCACCACAGACAGGCCTCTTACTAAGTCATACATGAGATATGCTACCTGACTGAACTGTCAGGTACTGAAAACCGGATTTAATTACCTTTTTTTTGTCTACTCCTATCATCCCCCCTCAGACCTACCAATGACTTAGAGGCAACATAAATGAAGAGCAGGCGCCCTGCGACCTCACCTACATGTGCTGCAGTCAAAGACCACAAACATGTATTGCATCTCCACAGTCCCGTTGGCAGAGGTGTAGCTGTCCCTTCCCAGGACACAGACTTCAAGTCTCACATGCCAGCTGTGGAACAGCACATTGGACATGGTGGGGAGACTGAGGAGAGGGTCTGCACCACTGCCAGAATCAGTGCTGCCCTCGGTGCTACTAAACAGGGCAACACTGCATTCCAGTAATGAATGATACTTATTGCAGTGGGACTCAAACCTGACCTGTGATCAAGGCCTCATCTCAGCAAATGCTGTAAAAATACACCAGAAAATACTTCACCCTGCCCTACACCTCTGGCCTAACTTGTTTACTATCAATTATTCAAATAAATGGCAAACACCCAGGGACTTGAATAATAGTTGCAGAAAAATTCAACAGCTATAACAGAATAGACCTACTGCTTAGTTCATTTTACGTGAAAGTTTCCTGACACTTCTACAATTGAGGAAACTGCAATGAGGTTAGTCAGATATCAAAAGAAATTAGGCAACACTCTACAGAAGATATATGAGAACACAGGCACAAACATAGCAGACTTTCACAAGGTAAGAGCAACTGAACTTTTTGTAGAGTTGGCATAGGTCTTTCTGAAGAATTGTCTTTACTACTTTATACATCTTATGCTTAGCTGGTCCTTCATTTCCCCAGAAGGGATCTGAACTGACATGAAAGGAGAGAGAAGGAGGAAAGGTACACATCATCCATCAGTGACTATCTCCTCTGATTGCAAATTCAGAATTTAACATCTGATTCTAATGGAAGCTTCAAGGAAACGACACTTAAAATAACCTTGTGCTTTAACTGAAGGGATGCATGCTGATTTAATTCAACACAAAAGTATCACACAACTGTGAGGATCTCAACTATTCCAAAGTTGCTTGTCTCCCAAAGCCAGAACATTAATCAACTTTTAAAATAAGTACAACAAAACTTGTGGTATCTAAAGATAGGCTACATAAAGAAGTCTATCAAAAGAGAGATGCGTGCTGAAGATCTTTACCTAAAAGTTCATATTAATTTGTCCCTGAAACTTCACAGAGGCTTTACAGAGAGAAGGTTTGTCAAAACCAGGAAGCATTTCAAAACTACAGTATCCATGCAAACCAGTACCAGGAAGTATCTTGGCAGTTTCCAATAGAAATCATAAAGGTACCTAGAAAACATACTGGGATACACTGACAGAATAAAACAATCTAGGGTTACGTGCAATGAATGGCACTGCCTGAGATGACAAATAAGATCTATTAATCAAATAAGAAATAAAGGTTCTAATGCATACATAGAAAGACTATATTTTGTATTATCATTGTATTTATAGAGATCATTAACATTTTGTGTCATGTATAAACACTTTGTCGTATCTTACTGCAATTCAAGAAAAAAGCACCTTCCTTACTACCATGGGACAGTATCTGCAAAAATTTAGTTTATGGGATAGTTATCAGTCATCAGAAGGCAGAATGATTTGACATTCCAACTTTCTGAACCAATGCTATCCAATTTTGGAATAAGAGAGCACTCCTGTTGCATGTGGATAAGCATAAGAAGGAGTATCAGTACTGAAAGGGGACGTGAGAATCTGTTCTGCAATGCTTTCCTATTGAATAGCTATTTTCACATATCTCTGTGCTGGTACTGGATGGGGTAGAGTTAAATTTTTTTATAGCAGCAAGTATAGGGATATGTTTTAGATTTGTGTTGGAAACAATGTTGGTAACACAGGGACGTTTTCGTTATGGCTGAGCAGCTCACACAGTGCCAAGGCTGCCTCTGTTTCTCACTCCACCCCACCTGCCCGTGAGCTGAGGGTGCACAGGAGGGGACACAGCGGGGGCAGGTGACCCCAACTGACCACCGGGATATCCCACACCATATGGCACTGTGCTCAGCATGTAAAGCTGGGGGAAGAAGGAGGAACAGGGGGACATTCAGAAAGATGGAGATGGAGTCTGTCTTTCAAAGTAACCTTTAGATGTGATGGAGCCCTGCTCTCCTGGGAATGGCTGAACAGCTGCTGGCTATGGGAACTGGTAAATTAATTCCTTGTTTTGCTTTGCTTACACCAGCACCTTATGCTTTAGTTATTAAACAGTCTTTATCTCAATCTATGAGTTTTCTCACTTTTACCTTCTGAATCTCTCCCCCATCCCATCATGGGGAGCGCGCGAGCAGCTGCGTGGGGCTTGGCTGCTGGGGTTAAACCAAGACACCACCTCACATACAACTGAGTAAAACCCTACCCTTTTTGCTCAGTCACTGACATGAAAATTCTTACAGCAGAATTATCCCAGAATAAATAGCTACATTAGATGTAAGCTAAAGACATGCACATAGCTACATTTTAAATTCATCTTAGTGATGAGAATAAGACCAGATTGACAGTCCACTTAATTAGGTGCAGCACAAGCTGCAAAGTTACACAGCTCCTTCAGATTGCCTGAGCTGTACAGTGAGAATCCAGGCAAGCAGCTAGTTCTGGTCTCATATGAAGCTGAAGTCAACATCTTTCATTTTATCGGGCTAGGTCTTCTTAATTTCTTATTTCTTTTTTTCATTTGAGCCGCTTCGACTCTGCCTACCTAACTTTATGAAGACATCACATCACATGTTAAACTACTTCCAGCTTTTACTAAACTGAAATTCATATGAACTGGAAGGCTAAAACCCGAAATACTTCTTCTCCCAATTCAAATGTACTAAACACTCAGTCATTGGAGACAACAATGAAATGTAATCAGATCAGATCAGCAGCACTCTTCCTGCTTGTCTCAAATAGCCCAAAGGATATTGAAAATTAGCTGTTTAAAGTAAGATCAGTATAGTCCATTAAATCTACTGATTCACTCCCTAAATCAGCTAAACTGCCTCTTAAGAGTACAGGACTGACAGAAGCTGTAAATTCAAGGGAAAAAATGCAGTTATTCAGACAGGCACGGTGAAAAAGAAAAATATGCTCAACTGTTTGCCACACTTGACTTTTAAGACTTATTAAATGGCTTGACTGGTGCAAAGGTACCAAAAAGGACATAAAAAGACCTTGACTTCTTAATTGCTGGTTCAAATGCCTGGCTTAAGTACAAGTTATAAGCCTCTGACAGCCTTAAAAGAAGATAACATTTGAATTCTACTCTTGCAGGATAGTCTTCATGCCACAATATACAAACTGAAGTCTGCAGAAATTAATTTAGAACTATTAGTGTTCAGGATGAGTAAATTCAAGGTGGCCACATGCAAAAATTCCTAGCTTTAGTCTCAGTTTCTCACATGTGAAAGGAGGGATAAGAGAATACTGTTTACTTTACAGCTTGATGAAATAAATTCTGTGATGAACACCACAGAAAGAAATAGCTCTGATATAGAGAGCCAATTATTTCCCATCATTATAGTAAGCAAACCCATTTGCAGACAAAAGATAAGCCAGGGAAAAAATATCCTCATGGCTGTAAATTAAACCAATTGAACAGTCTGTTTTTTAAAGGTGTCAAAAAAGCTTGAAGAGACAAAAGGTATATTGACAAGATCTATAATGATATATAGATGGAGAGATACAGAATCACAGCTAACACTGAATCTGCTGTCTCGTGTAAATTGAAAATCTTAACTTCATCATCGCACTGATATGGCTTTAGTGGGGTTTTTTATATAACTCTTTCACAGAGCCATCTTTCTGACATCTCATTTTCTTAATATAAACTGGGTGTTACTTACTTTGCCTAGGAAGTGACATAATTTAATATCTGCAATTAGTGATTTAATAATCTGGGATTTAATAGCCCATGATTAGTGACTGAATCCTCAGTTCAAAAAGAAGGGTTTTTTTCCAATTAGAGGATGTTTAATTTTTATGATTTTAGGAAACAAGCAAGTTAGTAAGCAGCAAAATATGGCCAGAATAAGATTGGTTTTTGTTCATTGAGATAATAATTGTGGGGGGTGAGGGGGGACTGACATGTAAGCATCCAGAGAGCTGCTTCTCCTTTTGGCTTTACTGAAGACTGGCAAAGTCCAATAGAGGCTTAATTGCTCAGTTCAGTGGGATCCAATAGCATTCTTCTATGGCACAATTAATTAACCTATGGTGAACTGGTTTAAGAGACTGTCCCCATCATTATTTTCCCTTTAATTATGCCAATTCAATGATGTGGGGCTGTGCTCCAACCAGAAACAACAAAACAATTTAGAAAAATAAATCCATACTGCTTATGAACAAATCCTATAGAAGGACAGGACT